GCACCACTGAGCTAAATCCCCAGCCCTTAATGCTTTTTAATATAAATACATATTTCTGTAATATAAAACTTAAAACCAACACGTTAACTCAAATTACAATACATTCCTTTAGTCTGTCTTATATTGATACAGTGCTTCAGAGAGCTCAAATATCACTTCATTTGAGAAATATTTCTTAGCACTCTATACTAACTGCTCTTTTCTCTGAATTAGATAGAATTTATCTCTATTACCTCACTTATCACACGATAAATCAGTTGTTCATCTATCTCCCTTGCTTGCAAGCTCCGTTAGAATAAGTTTGATTACATTTTCAGTATGTTGTACAGTGTGTGACACACAGAAGGTTCATACATGGTAAAGTAAATGATTTTACTACATTGTAATTGTTGCCAGAATTCAGTTTGTGTATTACTAAATCACTACAGACACTGCCAGCAACCTGAGAATATAATGTTCTCCCCATAAAACTTGTACCCATTACTGGGTAACTATGGTCATAGTTAATTCAGTTGCAACATGCCCTCTAGCAAAGCCCATTCATAGGTTTTTCCCTGAGTGATTTTTGACTGTTTGCTTTTGGAATTTATTTTGTTTTTTTCAATTAACAAGGAATATTCAGCCAACTTCATCACATTTTTACATCCGTACCTTTGCACCTGGTAGTCTCTCCTTGAAATTGTATCTCAAGGTTTCATTTACCTAGAAAACATTTGTACTCATCATTTCAGAATGCCCATTCATAGGTTTTTCCCTGAGTGATTTTTGACTGTTTGCTTTTGGAATTTATTTTGTTTTTTTCAATTAACAAGGAATATTCAGCCAACTTCATCACATTTTTACATCCGTACCTTTGCACCTGGTAGTCTCTCCTTGAAATTGTATCTCAAGGTTTCATTTACCTAGAAAACATTTGTACTCATCATTTCAGAATGAGCTTAGAAGTCAGGGTTATAGCTCAGTGGTAGTGTGTGTGATTACCATGAGCAAGGGTAAGGGTGTGTGTGTGTGTGTGTGTGTGTGTGTGTGTGTGTGGTGGTGGGGGCGG